ACTCTTTGTGATTTAAAGATCAAATTTCTCCTCTTTCATTGCTGCAGGTATTTTTTTTTAAAATTCATTTAAAGGTTGGACCTCTTTTTCTAATTTGAAATATAAAATAGACATAAAAAAGAAACATTTTAACAGTGGTACGCTGCCTGAATGCAGGGAGGTTTTGTTGATTGGAGCTTTATGTATTCAAGTGGACCTTTCTTCTCTCTTCATGGTTTGTTTTGACGGCTTGTTACAGAGCGACAGGGGTAAGCCAGATGTCCCTTTGAAGTGTGTTTTCAACCAGAGAAGAGGGGAAAAAGACGGCTTTTCAGAATCCATGTTTTAACATTAGCAACCTTCCAAACAAAGATGTCTTAATGATGAGAGAAGGACTAGCCTGGAAAGGGTCTAAAATATACATGCTGGCCACCTTGAGATTGGAAGTACTACAACGAAGCCATGATGCAAAGCTAGGAGGACACTTTGGATTCCTAAAGACCTTGCCAGATGTCCATTTTGATGGCCTAAGATGAAATCAGAAGTAGAAGACTACGTAAAAAGTTGTGCCACTTGCACAGCTGTGAAAATATGACCTGGGAAGCCTCCTGGGTTACTGCAACAAGTAGCCAGCCCCAGCCGACCATGGGAAGAGATTGGATTTCATCGCAGAACTCCCAGACAGCAGGGGAAATAAAGTGATTTGGACAGTCATCAACTTATTTTCCAAGCAGGTCCATTTCATCATTTGCTCATTACCTTCAGCAAAGAAATTAGCGAAAATGTTTGTCAAATACATCTACTGACTACACAGAGTACCCAGAAGAATCATCTCTGACCGCGGAGTCCAATTCACTGCAAAGTTCTGGAAAGAGTGCCTAAAGTCCATTGGGTCCACACAAGGACTTAGTTTGGCTTTCCATCCAAGTACAAATGGAGCAGCGGAACACACGAATGCAATGGTGGAACAATACATCCATTGTTATGTAGATTACCAGCAGGACAATTGGTCGGATTTATTACTGTTTGCAGAAGTGGCATATAACGATGCTGTCTATAGCAGCACTGGATTAACTCATTTTCAAGTTACCAGTGGCATGGAATTTGTACCCATGCCAGAACTGCCCAGAGAACCTCCCTCCTCGATGTCCTTGACTGAATGGATGGATACTTTAAAAAAAGGGATGAGAGGATACGAAAAAACTCTGGCAACCGCAGCAGAAGAATACAAAAAACAAGCTGACAAACACCGCTCACTCCAACCCCCTTTCGTGTGGGAGATAAAGTCTTTCTATCTACAAAATATATAAGATTGAAGATCCCTAGCAAAAAATTAGGACAAAAGTTTTTAGGTCCTTTCCCAATAGTAAAAATAATTAATCCAGTAAGAGTTCAGCTCAGTCTACCTAGAATTCTAGGGAAAATACACCCAGTTTTCTATTGTAGCCTACTGAAGCCTGTGATTGGGTCCAGGTTAAGGCCACAGACCCAACCACCTCCTCCTCCTATAGTAATACA